TATCAGGGTCATGACATATATGTCACTTCTGCCACTGTGTAGGGTCAGGGTCAAGGTATTAATCTGCAACTAAAACAGTGCAGCTTCTGTGAATTGTTGTAGTCCAGTGTGAATGTTTTGAAATGTTGTGATGCCTGTGATTTTCCACTGGCTTTACTTGTATTAATCTGTATGGTTTACATACTGCCAGGCTGGAGCTAAAGAATGCCAGAACATTCAGGAAGTGGGTCAGGGAATTATTCCATAACTCAGTTAGATTTGTCCATAAGTCATGTCTTAACAAGTTGCAGCTTGTATGTTTTATAAACTAAGATGAAAAATTGGAACTAGTATTTAAACCATGACAAAACTCAGTGTACTTAGAGATTGACTAGCATAGAAAAATAGCCTTGCTCAAGCACTGTGAATTTTATACATACTGAGTACTGTAGTACTCAGTCTTTCATTAAGCTTTATCAAAATTTATTTAGATGTTAAAGTATTTCCTAGCAGAAAATTACAAAATTTTCTCTGTGATTTAAGAGAGTAAAGTTCAACAGAAAAAGAAAAAGTCACAAACTTTTAAACTAAGAATTCTGTTTCATACTTTACTCTTTGTTTTGGATTTTTTGTTTAATAAAAATGACAATATTGCTTTGGGTTGGGATTCCAACTAAACAATTTTTTTTCCTTAGGAGTTTTTTTGTTCCATTAATGAATTTTAATTTTAAAAGTCTGGTATAACAGTAATTTCACCAACTATTTTTGGGCTATCACATTATACTATTTTGTTTGTTTGGTATTTTTAAAAAATATATTGACTTGGTATGTTTGGTCTTAATTTTGTCGAGTATATTATAATTGCCATTCAGATTATATATTCTCATAATCAAAACTGGGGTATTACACAGAAGAATGACAAAATTGCCCACAAGCAGCATTTTTCCCCTGTTATTCAGCCATAGGCTTGTTATCACAGTTAACTACCTATTATCATAGTTAACTACCTGTTATCATAATTAACTACCTGATATATGGTTGTATTTCCTATCCAGAATTTACTTAATACAATAGAGAAAATACACTTCTACTCTGGCAAAATAAATTTCAACCATTGGTCTAAACAGTAAAAAAACTCCATCTTTGACACTGCCATTCAGAGTAAAACAATATTTCACTTTCTGGTAGCATTCAGTCATGTTCACTCTAAATCCTAAACCAAATTAAATAAACTAATAAAACACCCTTCAAATAGGTACTGTATTTATGGAGATATTTGTAAGCCAAAAACTGTACAACTTTCATTTACTTAATTTTGCTTTCTCTTGGGAAAATGCAGTGTAACTTGATTGTAATGTTTATGTATTTCCATTCACATATTTTCATTTTGCTACAAATTGGGCAACACATTTGGAATAGTATTCTTTATAATCCTGTTCATGCTTTTATTACTTGTACTCCTATATTGCCTTTAGGTTTCCATTGAAAGGGTTGACTTTAGAGTAAATTTTGTGTCTTTCTTTCCTAGCCTGCTGAACTGACATCATCAGTTCAAAAATGAAAGATTTGTATTGACTAGGAATGGTTTAATTTGGATTGGACATCTGCTATTGAAACTTAAGCCTGTATATTTTATTATCAATTATCTATATCTAGGATCATAGTATCTATTATGGGTTAATTATTTTTTAAAAGAAAATAAGTAAATACCAAAACATTTATTATTTATGAAATTTCATGATAATGAATCACAGACAATAGGACTAGAGCAGAATGTAGGAAGTCATTGACTCCATCTGCTTGCCTCCAGAACAGCACCAATTCTTTGTGTGTCTTCTGGACAAATATTTCTCTACCTTTTCTTTCCTGTCATGGGGATTTCATGACTGCTGTAAGCAATGTGTTCAAGAAATTAAATATTCTTAGTATTAAAGTTGGTTTTCTTGAGTCCTTTTTTTTTTTTTTTCACCAAGCATAGATCAATCCTGATGCTGTTAAACCCCATTATTTCTCATCGGGACCTGGAGAAGAGATGATTGGCGTTGAAGGTGTTCTTTACTACTTTCCTATTGTCTTCTTCAGAGTAAACAGTTCCAGTTTCTTCAATTTTTATGTGGAGATCATAATTTTGAGATTTTGACATCCTCTGGTCTTTATAACTTTCCCAGTATATTTTTTGAACTAGAATACCTAGAATGAATGTAGCAATTTGAGCAGTGCCAATCCAAAGAAGGAGAAGTTCTTGTATCTTACAGGTTACAAATCTGGTTATAAGTCTCTCTGTAAAGTTTGCTTTTTTTGTTTGGCAACGCTGTGATATTGATAGATAACAGCATTGTGTTCTATTGCTAACAACAGATTTCTTCCTACAGTTCTGCAAACTAATCATGGCAGCAGCCAGTTCTCTCAGTACCACAGAGCAGAGTCCATTGAGCTCATCTAGTGTGAAAACATCTGTTGTCTAAGTACTTACTGACTAATTATGTCCTTAGCATAGCCAGAGTGTTCACTATGCAGTCAGAGACATTAAGTAACCATTAGCAGAATACAGTAAAGGTTAATGCATAAAAAGGACCCCTTAATACTTTTGCTTCCTTGGTTCCATTTGTTGAAAGGTTGCCATTGGCTAACAGGGTTTTTCCTCTTGATTATTACAGAAGTCAAACAAAATGATGGTTTGAACTTGTGTATTCTTTGGAAACTGTACTTTGGGTTATGTCTGTATTTGCTTGTGTTTTTCTTTTATTTTCATTCTTTTTTGATCTTGTCTGTAGTTCTGTAATTCTCAGTTGTTCTCACTTGTGAGCTTGAGTGTTGTAACAGAGACATTGCGCATTCAGTGCAAGAAGATGTTTTACTGATAGTGTAACAGCGATACTGGTTTATTTTCATGGATATATGTGTTATACCGATATATAGGAAGAAAGGCACATTTTAAAATAAGTCTGTGTTTAATTTCAAGCCTTAAAATTGACTGTTGATCTGCCAGTAGAATCTATTTTGCTTCCAACATATCAGATTTCAAATGGTATAACAACATGATGCAGATTTTATGTCAACTTAATGGAGAGGTAACTATTTCCATGCATGTTAAAATCTCTGCTGTAACTACTACAAGACTTTCTGTAATGATAACTTCAAGAAACAAAAAATAGTTGTTGAAACCATCAGCAATATTTCTTATATTGTAGAACTGATGCTTCAGCACATATGAAAAATATTTTATTGTGGTTTTACATTAAAAACACTTAAAGTGGTATGTTCATTTTAAAGCTGAAAAAATAAAATGCATATATATATAATATATGGTTGTATTTTTTATTCATTATAAGAAAATTAAAAATTGTTTATTTTTTAAAAATTTGGTCCATATTAAATATCATATGCCAACCATTGTACATGTAAGGTAAGGGTATTATGGACTACTATGTTATGTATAAATGCAGTTTCACTGTAGGAGAGGCAGCCCTCAGAAGGAGAGGCATCACTTTTCAGGTTAGCAATATACTTCTTACAGTTATGTTAAATAATAAAAAGACAAGTTTTCTTTTAAAACACCTGTTGCAAATTGTTTATCAAACAAAGCAAATATCAAAGTCTAATCTGTTACAAGGCCACAGATTTCGTAAAAGGAGAGCTGTTAGTTTTTCTGAGCTGCAGAATATTCTCTGTAGTTTTGTAATCATATTGTAGAGATTTTTTAAAAAATAATTAAGAATTTTATATGTGTGTATAGACTGATTTCTCTAGGAAAACATTTGACAAATTGTTACATTATTTTATACTCCAGGGCATTTTTTCAAAGTAGATGAAAATATGTTATTAAAGCAAGACACATTCCATTCTGCTGAAGTCAAGATGATAAATATGATTAAAAAATATAATTAAAAAAAAATGGGGGCATCTTCCTCTAAGACACTATGTTTAAAAATTACCTTTACATTTAAGCACTTTTGTGGGGAAATTTTGTGGTATCTGTTGTTAAAAGAAATGTAGGTAAAAATGATGAAGCACTATGAATATATATTTCATTGATCAGCAGAAATGTTTTGTCTGATATAAACTACTGGTCTGAAACCTTATGAAGTAGTTCTCTCACATTCTTTTTGGATGTATTTTCTCACTTGTGATTCTTTACTACATTTATAACAACTTGAAGAGCATGCTAAATTTAAATTCCTTTTGTACTGTGTCTGTCATACTGTTTCTGTTTACATTTAAGAAATATGCTTCAGAAGTTCTGGTTTTGTTAGATCTACCTGTTTTATATTAGCAAACATTACTCAGTTTTGTAATATTCTGTGTTTCATTATGTTGTCCACAATTCAGCAGAACATTTTCCTCTGGAAAGGGTTGACCAAAAATCCTTTATAGATTCAAAACTCTCATTTAAAAGAGATGGGCTTGGGCAGCACAGCTCAGATCAGGATGGGAGCCAAAGCTTCCCTGGAATGCAGGAGGTGGATGCTGTGGTTTGATTTACTAGGTACTCTAAGTTGTAACTTCCACATTAGTACCAGCTGGCAATGTTCACTCCAGCTTCTGTTGCAGCTATATCTCAGCTCTCCTAATTTCCATGCAGGTCGATTCATCCCTGATTTTATTGACAGTGAACCTATATTACAGGTTTAAAAGAATCCACTGTCATATGGCTTAACTTTCTGTGTTGTGTTCTTTGATTTTTTTCTTTAAGTCTAGTTGCAGTGACTGAAGTAGAGCTTATCTTAGCTTATCTTATTCAATAGAGCTTGAATGTTTAGAAAAACATTCAATCTGGTCTATTCACAGCAAGCCATGTTAATAATTTTCCACCTGAGCTGTTCACTTATTTGAATATTTATGCCATTTACAGACTTTATCAATAATTCTATTTCTTACTATGTTTGTGTTATTAACACTATAAAGTCAAAATAGTCTAACATGTTTCTTCTTTGGTAGTAGTTTTACTAGCACGACTAGAAGTGATTGAGTTTTATATTAAATGCACTTTACATATTTGTTAATTATTTGCTTTATTTTAGGGAGGTGATCCAACAGCCACTCTAATTGCACTGTGTTCAATGAGGGATTTCAATCTGTCTGAAGAAACATGTCAGCTGGCCATCAAAGACACTGGATGTCTTGAAGTGTTAATTAATTTACTTGATACAGAAGAAATTAAATGTCAGGTAATGAGCTTTGTCAAATAGAGCAATGAAGATGCCTTTTTTTTATTAGAATATTTTTTGAGTTTCAAAGTTACAGAGTGTAAAGAAAATTGATTTCTCATTTCTGTCTTCTTTTGTTTGCTTCAGTTTTTTTAGAAAGACATCTATGTCTTTGACTTACAGTTTTCTTCTTTTCTCCTGATTAAATAAAAAATTTAAATAACCCATCATTTTAAATAATGTTAATGTTTTTGTATACCTAAATAATGTTTAACTTCTATCGTTTCCCGTTATTTAGACTGGTTCATTAAAAATCCTGAAGGAAATTAGTCAAAATATATTGATCAGACATGCAATTGCAGATCTTGGAGGCTTAGAGATCATGGTGAAAATACTGGACTCTCCAGATAACAATCTAAAATGTTTAGCAGCTGAAACCATTGCCAATGTTGCTAGATTTAAACGAGCACGAAAGACAGTCAGGCAACATGGAGGAATCAAGAGATTGGTAAGCAGACATTAAAATTTGTACCCTTGTCATATGCATATTTTTGTTAAAAGATATTACCATATGTTGTAAACATGATCTACCATAATTAGAAAGCAACGTGATATCAAATTTTCCTGCAGATATTAAGAAATTGGTATTTTTTTTAGGTTGAGCTGTTGGAATCTATTTCGGTGGGATCATCATACCAAGCCAAAGACACTGAAACAGTACGCTGTGCAGCTTTGGCACTCTGGAGCTGCAGCAAAAGCACCAAAAACAAGAAAGCAATCCGTAAAGCTGGTGGCATTCCATTACTAGCTAGATGGCTCAAATGCTCACACACAGACATCTTAATCCCAATAGTGGGGATGCTACAAGAATGTGCCTCAGAGGTGAGTAAACACATACAGCTAAGTTATTTCTAAGCATTAAAGAAATTCACCACTAAAAGGAAATATTACATTCTACAGTCACTTAAATCAGGCCAGTTATCCTATCAGGAAGTAGATGCTTTATGTAATCAAAGCGGTTTTGAGAAGGTCACAGCTTGGATTGAAGTAAAAAACCAAGTATTTTTTATTTAAAAGGCGAGGAGTAATACATGAAAGAAAAAATGTGAAATGAAAGCCTTAATCACTTTCTTTTTTTTCTTATTTTTTTTCATCTTTCATCATACTTTACGGATTTGGCAACCTAAGGTGCTGTGTTCTGGTTAAGTAATGCATTTAAATTCTACAAAACTAACCTGCAGGTGTGGCCAGGGCAGAATGGTTTACAGTATCCTTGTGTATCAAGTCTGATCCATTGCAAATAGAAGAAAGGAATATATGTGATTTTTTCCACAGATTTCTGTGGCACATTTTGCAGCTTTCAGTATATTCAGTTTTTAAATTTGAATACAATTTTTTTTTTACCATAGCCATGTAAGGGATTACACTAGTGGGACAGTTCTGTTTAATATCTTTATGAATGATCTGGTTGAGGGAATTGTGGGCACCCTCAACATGCTCAGTGTTTGCAGGCACACCAAGGGTAGGAGTGTCAATCTACTGGAGGGCAGGAAGGATCTGCAGAGGGCTCTGGACAGACTGGATCCATGTGCCAAGGGCAGTGGTACAAGGTTCAGCAAGGCCATGTGACAAGTCCTGCACTTGGGTCACAGCAACCCCTGCAGTGCTGGGGAAGGAGTGGGTGGAAAACTGCATGGTAGGACAAGACCTGGGGGGGCTGAACATGAGCCAGTGTGTGCCCAGGTGGACAAAAAGGCCAATGGCATCCTGGTCTGATTCAGCAATAGTGTGGCCAGCAGGACCAGGGCAGCAATCATCCTACTGTGCTAGGCACTGCACAAATCCTGTGTTCTGGGTCCCTCAGTTCAATAAGAACATTGAGGTGCTGGAGTGTGTCCAGAGAAGGGCAATGGAGTTGGGGAAGGGTCTGGAGCACAAGGCTGGTGAGAAGCAGCTGAGGGAGCTGGGGGAGTTTAGCCTGAAGAGAAGGAGGCTCAGAGGGGACCTGATCACTTGCTCCAGCTATCTGAAAGAAAGTTTGAGCCAGGTGGGGTTCTTCTCTTCTCCCAGGTAACAAGCAATAGGATCAGAGGAAATTGCCTCAGATTGAATCAGGAGGTTTAGATTGAATATTAGGAAAAATTTCTTCACCAAAATGTCTGTCAAGCACTGGAACAGACTGCCCAGGGGAATGGTTGAGTCACCATCCCTGGAGTTACTTAAGAGATGTGCAGATATGGCACTTAGGGATGCAGTTTGGTGGTGGACTTGGCAGTGCTGGGATAATAGTTGGACTCAATGATCTTAAAGGTCTTTTCCAACCTAAATGATTCTATTTGTTTATGATTCTCTATCTTCATTTGAACTTGAGGTGTATTGCATTTCAGATAAAATAATATACATAATTTGTCTTGGTGAATTTAAGGCACAAAAGACATAATTTTTAAAGAGATTTTACATTATTAAACACTTTGTCTGTTAAAAATTAGCTTCTTGAATTACACAAATTAATGCATGTTCCATGAGACATAAACCTGGCAGATTTTAGGTTCAGTAAGTATGTATTGAGAAGATGTCCTTTTTGAGGGTTTCTTGTATGGCCTGACTTGGAAGGAACACTAAATGCATTTCTCACACAGATGTTTCCCCCACTTAAAAAATTATCCTGTTACAATGCCTGTGAGTTAAATTTGGATGACAATACCACTAAAAAATGTTAATTCTAAGAACATGTTTTTCTAACCTTGTTTTAGGAATAGATCTGTTGTTTTGGCTGCTGGTTCTCAATGAAGTGAGTGGGTACTTCTTGATCCCATTCTGAAGCATCTTTTGCTTTCTTGGGTCTGAGCAGGGAGTCTGGACACCTTTCAGAATATTCTGCATTCTTCATAAGCCAAGTGGCTACAGGATAGGCAGTGCAGTACCTCAGTTTACAGGTGATTTGAAGAGCACTGCAGAGAATGTCTGGATTTGCTTACCTCTGAGATCATCAGTAGTATTTTCAAGGCAATGATGACTTGTGCTTACATAAAGTACAAGGCTTCTCAATATCAAGCCCTATAATTGTAGCATTGTATTATTATTGTGACCGATTAACTGTTAATATGCAGGATTTAAAGACGCAGTTTATCTTTTTAGCCAAGTTACAGACTTGCAATAAGAACAGAAGGCATGATTGAGAACCTAGTGAAAAATCTGAGTAGTGAACACGAGGAGCTCCAGATGCATTGTGCAAGTGCCATATTTAAGGTAATTTTATTATAATCAGTAGATCAGAACGAGGATTATCCCTTTGTTTTCATGTCATTGTCAGTTACAAATTTTTTTAATCTTACTATTTCTCTAATGTGGAAAAAAATATGGAAATGTGACTATTTTAGCACCATATTTAATATTATAATTAGGTTCCTACTTCCTCTTCTTGTGTACAAACATTAAGTTGCACAGGTAACCAGTGGAGAGTGGTGAGGCATACTGTGCGTAGAGCTGCTTTGGTTTTTTTGTTTGTTTGCCCCTAAAGAGGACAATGTGACAGTAAAAGCACTGCTGCATATACAGGAGCAGTTTACTGTCACTCTCTCAGTGAGTTAGCATATTCAGATACTTGAATACAACATTTATGTTTTCTTCTCTATTAACTTTTACTAGTTACAATGTAATACAGCTAGCCTTTGAAGACATAATCTTACAGACTTTTCCATAATATATGTGTTTAATATCTGTATTTTTTTATAGTGCGCAGAAGATGAAGAAATACGTGACTTGGTTAGAAAACATGAAGGTCTACAACCCCTATCTGTTCTGCTTGATAAAAGTGAAAACAAACAACTTTTGGCAGCTGTGACAGGAGCAATCTGGAAATGTGCAATCAGTAGAGAAAATGTGTTAAAGTAACAATTTAATTTTACAAGCATTTCTTACATTATCATGTTTTGATTTTACAGGCGTCTATTGTTTTCAAAAGTGTTGTGTCACAATTCTTCAAAATCAGTCATTATAATCAGCTGGGATTTCAGCTTAGGTTTTATAGTACTTAAAAATTGTCACCTGACCTCATCAGGGTAGAATGGAGACAGTGTTAAGTTCCTAGAATCTTAACAGTCAATGGAGACAAGTGGTACCTCTAGTTAAGCTATAGGACTCTGAGTCAGGAGGTGTACTAGCACATAGTAAACATTTGACACGTGGCCATATCTGATATCCCCCCTCCTGTCTGTAGCTTACAAGCCAGAATCGCTGCTGCATAGTAGAGAGAGTACTTAGTACACTAATGTTTTACATCAAGAGAGACAAAGACCACATTATCTAATTGTAGGGTAGATATCTAATACATATTAGAAATATATTGGAGTCTAGGATAACTTGCCTAGGTGCCTCTCTTCTTGACTATAGAAGGGGCTCAGAAAAGTAGCTTCTGAGCCCCTTCTATATGAAGACCCAGCTTCTGAGGACCCAGCTTCTAAATGAGTGGAATTAACTGCTGAGAGTTCTGCTGTGGGTACCAGCAACCTCTCAGTACCAGGGTTCTGAGTAATTATTTGAGAATGTGACAGTAGGAGTTGTCACTCTCTACCTTCCATGGAGCAGCTCAATGATCAAGAAGACTTTACCCTCTCATCTAAAATTAATATAACAAATTCATACACCTTACTTAAAAAAAAAGGAAGCTGGCTCCTCTACATATCTGCTAAGTTTCCTGCTGAAATTATGCTGCTCTATATGTAGAGTGTGTAGAAATGTTAGAAAGAGTATTAGTAAGGGGTAACACCTTCCTGCTGCCCTAATTTAGTACCTTGCTGGATAACCACATAATGATAAAGACTGGGAAGATTTCCAGGTTTTCTGGCTTTTTACTGTCCTAAATGAGTTCCCACACTGTTGGTATACAGGCCTATGGTCTTTACTTCCTCTGCTGCTGTCCTACTGCTTTTTTGCATTCTTAATTGCACAGTAACCTAACTTTTCATATGGATGTATCCTTTGGGTACTTTGGGTTTGTGCAGAGGTATCCTGATTTTGGATCAATCAGTGATGAGACAGACTGAATGGCTCTCTCTGTACTAGTAAACTAAACAGGGCCAAATCTTTCAGGTTTCAGGCTCTATGTTAGGGTTATCCAGACTGTTTTACTGCCAGCACAGTCCCTTACACAGTTTGCCAGCAAATGCTCTCCCAGACAATGCCCAGACACTCCTTAGGAATGGTGCAGGCAACAGATTGTTCCCATTAGGCAGAATGGGTGAGGCCACCCTGCATTGTGAGGATAAGAGATTTTAGCCATATGGATGCTGTGTTGTGCTTCTTGTCCTCAGGGCTAGAGAATGAGCCCTAGACTGTTTTATTTATTAGTATAGCTGTAGCCAATAATTCTGTCCAACTGCAAACAGATTTTTGTTGGGCTACTCACATATCTTTGGCAAGTGCTTGATGCTCACAGAGGTTACTAGCCCGGCACAGCTCCAGCTGAATTCACGTGTTGTGTAGTGCTGAGTCTGAAGCAGTAAACCCTGTCCAAACTCAAGATGGGAGGGCACTAAAGAAAGGGGAGTGAGGATAATATGAAAACACCTAAGTAGATCTGGCGGGATGAGCCTGAGTCTGGCATGAAGCTAGAACTAACAAGCCCTGCTGGCTCCTGCAGGGACACTTAATTATCTCTGAAGTGCTCCAGAGTATTTCCTGTGCCTGGAGGTCGCTGCTGAGATGATGTGCTGACTCAGCCGTGAGCCGGGGCAGGTGCCTGTGCCTGTGCCTGTGCCTGTGCAGCTCCGGGTGCAGCTGGCGGGGGAGCAGCCATTCTGCTCCTGGACACAAGATGGCCAGAGCCAGCAGCTCTGCCTGAGAGCAGCCTGCCCACTGCACATCCAGCTCACAGCGTTCCATCTGTGAAGAACTTGAAATGCCAGCAAAAATCAGTTTTGTTGTTTTTTAAAATTATTTTCTTACTTTATTGCTCTTTTTTTCATGTTGTTGATGCTGACTCTTGAAAAAAAAATTGTAAGGATACTTCCAAATTACAGTGAACAAGGAGACAAAAATATCTCTTTAAGCAAAGGTTTGAATTATGAAAAACAAAAGTTTCTCATTTCTCAGTTACTTTAATTATTATGCTGATAATCCATCTTGGAAAGATTAATTTTTATTTAAACATCTAATTCTGCCATAAAAATCTCAGAAATACTAATATTTTTGTATAAAAGAAGAGCCACATGAGCAACTGATTCTTGGAAAATAGTATTTGTAGCTCAAGCAGATATTCCCAGAAGCTAGGGGCTGGGAGGAAAGCACAAATGAGAACTCAGTACTCTCAAAGAAATTTTCTCTGATAATTCGATTATATACAGGTTAGATCTAGCTTGATATAGCACATGGAACTGTCAGGGTGTATCAGAAAATGTATAAATGAAGATGCAGTATTTGTTAAGTGTTAAGAATCCCCTAAGTTTTAAACAAAACACCCTTAAAAATTATCCAGCACCAAGGAAAGAATCCTCTTCTGAAAGATGAACTTTTGACATCTAGCACAAATCTCTTTGTAGGACAGGACCACCAAGATTTTAAAAACCTTATATTTGATTCTCAGTATCAAAAGTTCTACGAAGAATGGGGAAAGTATTAATATAAGAGTCAAGCCAAATTTCTGTTAATTTATTTCTTAATTGCAAGTTGGAATCTAACATTGTGCTATGGAAATGTACTAGAACTATGGTTCTGACATCAGGAAAATGGAGTGTGTTAGGCCTAAACTAAATATAGAACTGCCCAGGGTAAACTCTCTAAAGGCTTATATTTAGTGAAAAGTAAGGGCCATCCTTTGGTTCAGAGAGGTGGAGGATGGTCTGGTACAATACTACTCTAGCTATTGTTAACATATCAGGGAAAAGTGCTGGAAGTAAGGATAGCACATTAATTGCCAGTCTTCTGTTTTTTTCAGATGTTTGTTACCGTTGCATCTACATGTCAAGTTAAAAAACCCTCAAACTACTCAGGAGGTTCTTGGACAGCTAAACTGTAGAAATGTAGTTAGAAAGTTAGAGTAAGACATGAGGCTGCATGTCACACTTAGAATAATTGATTGGTATGGTTTACCTGTATTGGGATTTCTTCAGCAAGATGATTTACATACAGAAATTAAAACTTGTACTTCAATTATAATAATACTTTAATTATAAAATTAAGCTTATATTGGTAATGTACTGAAAATACCAACTTTGGATTTATTGCTGTCTTTTAGATTTCAGGAATATAAAACCATAGAAACTTTGGTAACACTGCTTACTGATCAGCCTGAAGAGGTCCTTATAAATGTCATTGGAGCACTGGGAGAATGTTGCCAAGAGGAAGAAAATCGAGAAGCCATCCGCAGATGTGGTGGAATTGCACCTATAGTGAAGTTACTGACTGCAACCAATCAGGCCCTGCTTGTGAATGTCAACAAAGCAGTGGGAGGTTGTGCAATGGAACCTGAAAATATGGCGTAAGTTATTAATATTCACAGCATTTTGAATATTGAAAAACAGTTCAGTTATTCTGGTGCAAATATAGTCAATTCTATTTCTATTTCTGATTTAAAATATTTTTTGCTTTTTGCTTTTTACAGAAATGTGTGGGTTAGTTACATACTACTGTAAATTTGCTATAGATGAAAAAATTATTAAGGAAATATATAGAATGTAAAGTCTTTGCATTTTGAGAAAAATCAAATAAACCTTTAGTAAATTGATTTTTGTTTAAGTTGAAATTCAAAGTTACAACCACTATTTTAAAGTGCTGCATGACAGGTCCATGTTTTGCCCTCTCTTTTTACTTCAGTTCTTAAGTCATTAAAAATAGCCTAAATTAGAGAAAGTTATTGTAAAAGTAAATGTACACACTTACTGTCATGAAAATAAACTCAGTTTTTTGGTAGTAGAGTGTTACTTGTATATCTGTTTTGTCCCTCTCCATCATTCCTTTTGTAAACTCTGACAGTTTTGGACCCTTTTCTGCCCTCTTACTCCTTTGCAAAATCAAAGGAAAAGACAGTCTTTGATTTTGTGATGTAGATTTGTACAAATTACGAAGATCATTGGGTTTTATGATTAAGTGTTCAATTAAACGTTGAGGTTGGCATTTGCTGTGCTTACTGTTCTCTTACAAGGATATTTACTTCAAGATTCTCAGCATATTTCCCTTATACATAAAGGAGGTCAGAAAGAGAGTTTTATTAAGCTCCTCCTGTTCTGATTTGCATAATTCACTTGATATTCATATAGCAGTGCAGGGAATTCTTTTCCTGAATAAGGCTTTTCTTTTCATGCTTTGGCTGTCACCCAGTGGCAAAAGGCTGGATGGTACACAACCGTAAACATGGGTTGTATGAGCAGTTAGCCATGTAGCATGAAAGTATAAATAAATGAAATCATTCTAATGACATTTCTGACTAAAAAACAGCCTTTAGCATAATATATTAACGTAAGAGAATTAGCATTGCAAATACTGAGAAACTTAAACGCCAATAAACATAAACTGATATTTATAAAACCTCAGACATACTCCAGTACTCAGAACTGTCACTTCTAGTATCCAGCATGGACAGCTTCATACTGGAATGTGTTCAGTATAAGCAAAAAAAAAAAAAAAAAAAAAAAAGCAAGTTGCTGCTGAAAATTGTGATAGAACAAAGTCTGTCTTGTCTTTGAGAAGAAGAAAATACAGGTTTGGGACAACATTTATATTATAGAGTTTGTAAAGAGTGAACAAAGGAATCAAATATTGAATTTCATTCATATAAAACATTCTCTGTTGAAGTTCTCAACTTTAGAACTGTTCCTAAAAGTATTTCAAGACATTAGCAAGTAAGCAAGATCTTAAATAAGTGTGACTATACTTTTTGGTACTACAAAAAATGTTACACAAAAATTATTAGCATGACTGTGCCATGTACCTGATGTATTGCGCTAACTATGCTTGTAGTACTAGAAGAGATAATGCTGCTATATTTTTACCAGAGCATGATTCATCCAAGTGTGAATAAATTCAGCAAAATTTTAAAAAGTAATGCTTAGTTAAAACATTGACAGCAGTGTAAATGCTCATATGTCTAAATTATTTCCTTGACTGAGTGCTCTGCCTCTCACAGAGCACTTACAAGCAATCTCCCCTCCCACCACTGACCCCCAACTCTCTCTGAAAAAAAAAAAAACCAAGAGAAAGAAAAAAAAATATGTCCATTCCTCTCTCTTCTCCTCCTCTCAGATCAGTACAGCAGAAGTTGAAATTGTATCTCTTCATCCAAAGTGTTCTCCTTTTGGGGAAGAACAAGTCACCAAAGACATGAAATACACACACACTACACACACATAGAGTCTGTAGTGTGACTCTTGTCTGTTTACAAAACTGGGACCTAAAACAATAAATAGCCTTGTTAGAAACTGCTGTGGAGGTCAGTCTCTTTCTGTAAATATTTTCTGAAGTTCTTTATCAAAAAGACACATCTTAACAAGGGTGTGGAAATATGCTAAGATTGCCTTCTAGAAAGAAGCCAAGAAAAGCCCCTGGCAGCCTGTAAGTATATACAGGTGATGAGAATTTTCTGTTGCAGGAGGTTGATGCTTAGGTGTTCATGATCTTTCAGATTCATGTAGCTGGATCCTTATTACATTTCTTATTTCGTAATCACTTATTTCTCAGAATGGTTTGACAGGTTCTAGGTAATCAGTTCTCTACTGTCTTTTTCCTACCACATTTGTCTGACCCGTCAAGAGGCTTGGGGTTTGGGGTTTTTTTTGGTCATGTGATGCAGACAAGCTTTGTTTACAGTGTAACTTTTTTTAGTTTGGCATTATAGAAACTTTTAAAATTATGATGGTTTTCCTGGATTCTGCTGTCGTTGACTTTCATATGTAGTAAAATTCAAGCGCACATACGAATTGAGACTTTTCAGATATATTCTTATATTTCATTAGCTGCAAGTGTGTTTAACAAAGTGTGGCTTAGAGACTAAATATTCAGTTTAGCAGGCCTCTAGTTTGAATGTGCTTATCCTTGCAGCAGTAGATATGTGGAGACCATACATACCAAGAGTGGAGCTCACATAATTTCTGTAAATGATTCAGATATATAAGGAAGACATTGTGATTAATATAAAAAATAAAACATCATTATGGACTAGAAAAAGCTGAAAATATTCTATGAAGCAGTGCAGTTAAATTCTGAGGGAAATATTTTGCTGTTATTTTATGTTCCATGGAAGAAGCTTGCACTGACAAAAAGAGACTAATAGATAGGCATAGGTGAACGTACATGTTCTATATGTCTTTTAAATATTTTATTTCTGCCTAGTTGACACTGTGGCTCTTACAACTACTGAAGTAACTAGTGTTACTTTTCTGCACCAATCCTTTACTTCAGGGCAACTTGAAGGAATTACGTGATTCTTACTGACTCTATTGAGCTATTTAAAATTAAAAAACAGCAGCCAGCTTCTCTCACAGCCAAAAATGATTTGACTTATCCAAAAAACCCAACATGTGACTGAACTTCCTTACACTTATGTAGACAGCATGAAGCTGTTCTCCATACTTGGTCTGCTGTACCACCACTGACAGAGATGTTGCTGTTTATTTTTTAATGTATATTTATCTTTTTGAGGAACTTTTTATAAGTTACTAACTTTCTTTAACTAAGAACAAAGGACTAGTGCTTATTTTTTAGCTGACACTAGATTTTCATTTGCCCTTTCCATTAGAAAATCCATAGACTGCATCGCTGGCATTCAAGACTGAGGGCTTAGACTAAAATGTGCAATTATTTTAGCCAAGCAGATGGAGTTTGAGTCATTGGTATATAATACTATTTATCAAAGCAGTCAGCAGCAACCAGTGAAAGTTTTAAGAAAAATGCTAAATTGTGGTTTCAAAAAAGATGAGATTACATTCTGACAGAACTAAACCCTGTAATCTTACCAGTGAGCACAATACAGAGTCAGTATAACTTTGTTTATTTACATTTGTATTTGTGGTCTAAATTGGCAGGCAATTAAACTGAAGTTCTCAAAGTTCTGGTAAGTAACATTTTAGCAGAGAAAGATGATAGATAGGACAAACAGATGTCTAGGCTGTGTGTACACGTGTGTGTTTAAGCGATTCATGTTGACATTTCTACTGGAAATGTTCAATAATACATTTTAACTTGAAATAGAGGTACTATTTCAGATTAACAGTTTTGCTAATTTCAGATATATTTAAAAAAGCAAAGTAAATTTCTAGAAGAGCAAGCCACATCTTGCTCATAATGTTCAATGATATAATGAGATTCTTAAATAATGTGAAAAGTCTTCATTAGGCAACTTTTGCCTGTGAACACAGAAGAAAAGTAATTTTAAAAAATTATCTTAAGTTGACCAATCTGCACTGGTCAGAGAACAAATACCAATTCATTGTAACCTAAAAATTGCAGTAATCTCTGAATTGGTTCAATTGCATTAAAATTATTTGCCCATAAGACCTATTCTGTGTACACCATACATATGTTCTGTGTTGGAAGCAGGAAGATGTTTTGGTCCTACACCTTGCAGCTGCCTTTTAGTAGGAGTGATGATGCCAGCTGAAAATATCCCTTCACCTCTGCTCTGATCGTGTCTGGTCAGCACAGGAGCACATGACAGGAGTGCCTCTTCAGCCAGTTCTAATTGCCATTGCAATTTCTTTTTTGCAATGAGATTGTTTTGAGGAGCAGAATAATATTCTAAATTAAATAAGTATAATTACTATATTATATAATTACTATATTATATAATCACCTTATTATAAATTAAAATTCTGAATTCTATCTATCCTAAATTGTATCAGTGATCAAACAAGATCAGTCTGTGACAGAGAGTTTTGAATTAGAAGGGATGGCCCAGTTCTATTGTGAGATGCCTTGGCTATGCTAAGGAATAGAGACACAACAATTCAGAACCTGGGATCTTGCCTTTGAACTCCACATATTCCTGTATTGTTATGTATTTACAGTGAAGGACCAAGTGGCTTATAATAAACTTTACATTTGTACTGAGTTTCATGCATGTTTAGATTTTGACTATTAATTGTATTCTGTAGATTAAATACATTACATACATACATACAAAAGCAGATCAACTATTCCATAAAGTATTTGGATATTAAGACTTTTATATCAACTAAATATTGTATTACTGCAGCTTTTATGAGATTCCATTCAGCTTTCAAATAAAATGTTTTGCATTTTATTTGAAAAAACCTGTCTTTTAACAGTCCCGTGAGTGGTTGCTTGCTCCAAATTTTAGGTTAGTTTAATTTTATCAACAGAATATCAACAAATTATAATAATATAAATTACTTAAATGACTGAAGCCACAGAGTGAATAATGTGCTAACTGTGGATGAATACAGAATTGAATGCCTACTAAAGTACATTTGCTTTGCTTTACGTTTGCTTATATTTATTGTGATAAGAAGCTGTATTACTTCATCCTGCTAATAATATTATAATACATTGTGGGAAGAAGATTAGGTACAAAAACTATATTAAAAAAAATCATAATGTTGTTTAGCATTATGCCATCAAAGCTAGAAATTTCAAGATTACAGGTTTATTTTCCTCTCTCTTTCTTTGTTTTTGTAAAGAAAACTGAATGTGTATTTTTTGTCAGCTTCAAAAAGGAGTTTTTACATAGGAAGGAAGTTAATGTCTGAGCACTTTTATAGAGGAAACATTTTTCAGGACCATTTATTTTAGTGTTCTCTTTGCTGTAAAGGCAAATGCACTCATTCAGCACCCATTTTCTTCATCTGCTGGATTGTGTAGTGAAACCATAGGAAGATTTAAAAATTGAACTTTTTAGCACTGCTTTTTAGATTGTCAAATATATGTTCTCAGGAAAATGAGAATAAGGTTTGTTCTTGCATGGTGATTACACATTTACAGATCTTCCAGAGTGAGAATTTAAGAGCATCATTCCTGTATGTAGAGGTATTTTTATTTGTATTAATCTACTGTAACTGCAAGTAATCAGTGATGAATAATGTGATTTGGAGGTTTTTTTGTTTTGTTTCTACTGTTTCCTAGTTTAATTTTAAGCATGTTGAATGGATAAACTATACTTTCACATTGTCTGAGCTGGGTTCTGTTGATCTAAGACAAATGGTCTTTCCAGTCTTTAAGCAGAAGGCAAAACTCTTCTTCAGCAAATTAGCAGTAGGGGGAGGGTGGTTTACCTTGAAATACTGAAGACCAGAAGACTGAAAAGAAAATGAAAGTAAACTTCCAATTGAAAAGGAAGCTTTAAAAGAATCAGAAAGATAAATCTACCTAGAGGTTGTTTTTTTAAGTGTGGTAGAAAAATCTGAGCTCAGTGTTTGGCTTCTATCTCTTAATTTTTATATAGTAGTTGGAGCTGGGTCATTTATATTTAGGCCCTCCTGGGAGGAAATACCCCATGTGGGTAAATGATCAGTACTCTGCTTGACTAGAGGAAAGATTCACAGGTTCTTTTCAATTAATTCCAATATAGGAAAAAAAAATCCTTGTACTTTCTGAAGTGATAGGAGAGTAATGTTAAAATTGTTTAAAAGTGTTTGGGGTTTGGGAGGACTTAAAAGTTTGTTTTGAAGCTTTTACTTAAGTCGTCATTATTATGTCAAAATATATGTGTAATTGTGTAGTGTGTGCTCCCATTGTTTTATTTTGTTGTGTTAGGACTTCTGAATTTGTCCTTTGATGATTTTCTTGCAATTGATTTGGAGGTGAGTGAGTAAAATAAGCTGTACTGAAACTGGCAGATCTTAAAAATCTTAGGGGTTTTTAGCCTAACCATAGCTTTGTTCAAAAAGTATTATTTTGAAAAACATAGTTGTTTAAACAGTTCGTATAAAAATGTTATGAATAAAGTCCTTGCTTATTTTAGACAGACTTCATGTCCTTATTTATTTTTTCTGCTTCAAATGATGATAGAATTACACACAAAGTTAATTTTATAGTTAGTTTTAAAATTTCCTGGCAAAGCATATATAGTGAACACAAATGAGATGCTTTACCTGCTGTTTTTAAGCTCTCTTAAAAATGTGTTTTGAATTCTCTTTCATTTACAATTAAAGATAGAAACACATTATATGCAATGGAATTATTTTGCTTTTGAGGTTAGACAATGAAGGTGTCCTTGCTTCTCTTCAACTTCAGCTCATCTGCTTTGAGTTTAACACAGTTTTTTGAAAAAAGACATGTCGGTAAAGGCTAGTAAGTTTTGTCTGACCTTCCTTTCCATTTAGAGCTTTCATTGGAACCTAATGTGAAGTTATGATCCCCAAGCCTGATCGATACGTAAACATAACACAGATGGTGTAGAGATGATTCTGATGCTAATTCCTTTTTCAGTTAGTCATGAAGATACTTTGATTATAGTATGTTTAAATAGTTATAACATAGTGCTCAGTGTTGGTCTTGTTAGGAAGGAACATATGGGAAACAAGTTGCACGTTATTCATGCCCAACAAAGGATGCTCTGTAGTGTGACCATTTTAATTTCTAATGCTTGATTAGAAACATAGTTTTTTAAAATATGTCATAGAGCAAGGTAAATACATTAAGCATAGACTGAATGAAAAGTCAAGTACATAGTTTTGGGCATAAATATTTGTTTTGGAAAGTATTTGTTACTATATGAAAGAAGCCAGTATGCTCAAACTCAGATTTCACTTTGCATGTAGATCATTAAAAAGTCACATGCTTGTTTTCACATTTATGAGTTCTGGTTATAATATAGCTTACTTTATCTTCTATAAGCACTCTGAATGACAGTGCTGGAAAAAAATAAACAACATTAATGAAATTTAGTTAGAAAACATTTTGTCTTTACATCAGTTATTGGCACCCATCTGTTGTAGTGGGCACTGTTTGTTGAGTATGTTGATGGTGATTAGCTGACAATAAAACACAAGCACTTGCATAAAGCAAAACAGTATGTCAGAATCATGCCAGTTTCTTAGAGCAGTGTTCCAAACAAACTGATATAATTTGAGATTCAACATCGTATACTCCATAATTAATGTTCCCTTTTTTGGTCTGTTTCTGCAATAGGATAATTGACAGTCTAGATGGAGTCCGTTTGCTATGGTCATTGTTGAAAAATCCTAACCCAGATGTTCAAGCAAGTGCAGCTTGGGCTCTTTGTCCTTGTGTTGAAAATGCTAAGGTAAGAAAGTATTTAAAGAAAGAGTTTTGTTATATATATACTCATATAATTTTTATATTTGGATATTTTCCAGCAATAGTTTGCTCTTTGCTACTTACACTCTCTTTATTTTATTCTGTTAACTGCTTAAAAAACATGTGTATTTACTTTTCAAAAGTGGATAGTCCTCCATTTAGCACCCATTATATAATCTGTTTTGCCTTTACACTGTTTTCTGTACTGACAAATATATTTTAGTAACTTATCAGTACCTAAGCTTACTGTTCCCAAATAAAGCATGATGAAAATCTGACAATGCTGAAAACAGAAAGCTTCTACTCACAGGCTATGAATAGCATGGGTAGTTGTAGTTGTTCTCCACTGTGGTCTACTTCAGCTGTGTTCTCAAGAGACCATCATTTGGTTTTAGAGCATATTTTAGACTCGGTGCCAATGTAATCTTCAGGTTTTCTGCTCAGACTGCCAACAAAAAGTGCCAGTTGTGAATAGTGGTGGTTGTGCAGGTCAGTTGTGTACAGAAGACTGAGCTATTCATTTATTTCATGTCAGTTTCCAAATAGAGATAAAATAATCCAAATAGAGATAAAATAATTAGAGGATAAGCTGCAAGTAATCTCTCTGAATTGTTAGCATTGACATATGACAAAATAAATCTTTCCCATTAGAAGTTTCCTAGTGTACTAACTTTATACCTTAATCCTTGTACAGTACTAGCTTCCATCTCTGATTTACTTCTATATTTAATGCAACATTTGCATATTTTCTCTACTATACCAGAAATATATATCCTTCCACACAGAGCTGGAGATCCTGACTATGTAAAGAATAGTAATTTCTTCAAAGGGCAGGATATCTGTGGCATCCTTTGCAGGCAGTTTCCTGTTTGGGATTGAGCACTGTGTGGCTGCTATTAATTTATGTAGATGATTCAATTATACAGATACATAGAGATATATGGATATAGAATGAGAAAATTTGGTGTTGTTTTTTATAACTCAAGCATTTTTTATTTCTTCCTAATGATTTCTACAATGGCAGCTTGCTTGTCATTTTTCACACATGCTGGTTATTCTGAATTATCTTTTCATCCTTTTTTTTTTTTTCTAAATATGCAGTAAAGTATTTTGGTGCCTAATGGTGCAGTCTAAACATCTCTCCTCTGTAAAGATACAAATATAACTGCCTCTTTCTTGAACAATATTGCTATAACTGAATGTTAAAATACTACTTGATCTCAGTACTGAGGTAATACTTCCTATGTGTAAGACTCTGCAATTTGAAATGCCAGAGTAGAACTGCACATTGCTAGAACTTCCACTAAAAGCACTTTTTCAGAAACTGGGGGAATAGAGGACAACTACTGAAATTATGCATTACATGGATTTTTTTCTTCATTTTTTCCCTGGGGTGTTTGATGAGTGCAAGCTATGTACACTCTTAGTGTAGCTATTCTCCTTTCATCTCTCTTGGCTGCCTGCTCTAATGCTAATCTGTGATCCCACAAAGAGTTCTTTGTGTGACTCTGAGGCCAAGTGGCTCACTGAAACAAACCTACCAATAATACCCTTTCCGCTGACGCTGAATAGAAAGAAATATGTATAAAGCAGCAGCTCCAGCCACACTGAGGAAGTGCAGCAACTATTTCGTCTAAAGAGAATTTGTTTTTTTTTTTTTTGTTCAAAGTTAATATTATTCAACAATTTACACGATCTGCCAAGGAGCAGTTTGGTTTATGCAGTGCTTGATTCAAAAGCAGCAATAAGTACATGACTTTAAAGGGTTATGTGTGTTCTGGTCTTTCTAAGCCTGTACTTGGGACTGCAAACTGTGTTTCAAATAGCTGTAAGAATGGAATCCATTTTCTTTTTGTGTTCTTTTGTGGAAGCTGTAATGGTTTTCTTCTGTGTTGTGGAGGTTCACAGATGAAATTGAATTTGTTAGTAGTATCATAAACAAATTTTTATAACAATATAATACGGCATCCATTTTTCTGCACAGATATTTTCATTTTACTACCAACTAAAAGGTTATTTTCTGTATTTAAAAAATCTTAGAAGCTAATCAAACATTCTGATAGGGCAGTTATTTTGTAGTATGTGATTACATGCTTCTTTTTCATGCTTACTCTCACCATAATCTGTTTAAGAGTACTTTCCATAGAATTTTTATCAGTATGATGTAGCTAAGTGATATTGTTTGTTTCAAAGGAATTAAAGGAATTATCTTAATAGAAGCAGATTCTTATTAATTAGTTCCTTACTTCCTAAAGGAAAAGTTACTGCTGCAGGCACATTGCTAGTAGCAAAGTGTAAGTGCACTGTCCAAGAAATACAAATGATTATGAAAAATGAGTAAGAGAAGTCTACTCAACTCTGTTGATGTTGGAACAGCAATATTTGGTTATGATGCTTCTTTGAAAAACAGTACTTGTAATGTTCTCCCAACATACATCAGCCCAAACATAAACATTTGGAGAAATTCTACAAAGATGTAATTTGGGCTATTATAAAAATCATCCAAATGCATTGTGCCAATAAAAGGAACACTGCCAACTTGAGTCTGTATGAAAACTCCTATTTCCTCACAGAGGAAGTTTCTACTAGAATCTTCAAATAAATTAAAAGAAAAAAAAGAAAAGGGAAAAAACTTAGGTTATTTTCTGTCCTCATATTTAATAGAGTTTTGGGTGCAAACATTAAATTGCAAATGGCAATATCAGGCATTGTGTTTTTCTGTCCCATGTGCCTACATATAAACTTTCAAGTTGCAGTTTCAGCCTTATTATAGCTACAAGTGTGAGGCTTTCTCAACTTCATTAAGCCATCTATGTATAGAGTTGTCCTGGTTTCAGCTAGGGTAGAGTTAATTATTTCTCAGTAGCTCTTACAGTGCTGTGTTTTGTCTGTCAAAATAATTTAAGTAAAGAGTCAGAGACTGATTTGAAAGACAAGATAGAGAAAGTTACTCTGTTTTCTTAAAATTTACTTGTGGAATGACATATCGCCTTTTTCTGATATATTGTGGTTTCAGTTCTACAGGAGACTGTCAGGGGTGTGATGAAAGATGAGACATCTAAAGTTGTCTGTGTATTTATTTCATAAGGGGAAAGAGAATGCCCATGCTGACACAAAAAACCCCAAAATGAAACCAGGTTTAAGAGGGAAGGGTCATTAAATGGGTATGTTTGAAGGTCAATTAGTGTTCAGTCCTGCAACAGTGTTATATAACGAGGAAGTGAGTTTTGCAGCCAACCAGCCTAGAGTTAACCTATGGGTAGAAAATATGTTGCTGATGACCTATTCTTATATAGATTTTCCTTGTTATGGAAAGTTTAACATAACCATATGTATAAAACCACAGAGAGCATTTATTTTCTAAGAATAACAAAGAAATGTAGTTGAAGTTGGAAATTCTTCTAATATTTAAAAAACAGTAAAACCATTTGCTGTTTTAAATACATTAAGATGCTTTGATTGCACATTTTACTTATTTAAAACTGTAGTGTATAAAGATAATTGTGCTCCATACTGCACGCTGTTGTTCCTTTGTTTTACATTTGAAATATTTTAGTTAAGTACTACCAATGCATTTTTGTTTTTGTACCGTTCTTGGGTTAAGCCTTAAATGTCAAAATTCCCTGGTTGTGTATGTACAGCATTTTCCAATTTCTTTGTTTGCCTTGCTGTGCTTCTTGCAATTTTACACAGAAACCTTGGTTCAAACTTAATACTCTTACTGCTCTCTTTCCATTTTTCTATTTGTTTTCTCTAGACATTAGAATTTTTTGCCTCTGTCATACCTACTTCTCTGTATTTGCTCTCATTTGATGCAGTTTTTACTCCCTGGTATCTGGATTTAGATCTTCCAAATTTTTAAGCATTTTTTATTAACAAGCATCAAAAGCATACCATAAGAGAGACAAAAAGGAGTTTTTTGCTTGCTTCTGAAGCCTTTCAGAGAACAAGGGACCTCAGAGATTTAGGAAGCCCAGGAATCCAGACCTGGCTTGGTGAATCTATAAGTGACTGCTGTGCTTGCAGGGTATGTACAGAACCAGCTCATGCAATGACTCTTGACACTGGCTGCCTTGTTAAGTGAACTGACTCTCAAGAGTTCTTTGGGCCTCCTGCAGACACGGTGGAGATCCTAAATGGACTGAAATAAAAATTGCCCTGAGGTCTTTAATGTCTACAAATATAGGAGTCCAGTTTCTGTAAAACACACAACAGTGGAAGCCGGGAAGCAAAGGGTGTAGCCTGTATCTCACTCACACAGGAGACTTGGGCCCCGAGTTCCATGCAAAGCAACTGCCTGATAGCTTGGAGACCACAAGAAGCCAGAAAGCTTAGGAGCTCCTGGAGACCTGGATTTCCAGCTGTTTGGCAGCCCATCAGGCAAGAAGTCAAGGATTCTATGAAAACTAGAAGCCAAGGAGCCTGGCAGGCTACTCATCAGCCATCTGGCTGACAAGAGAGAAGATGAAGAGACATGTTGGTTATTTAGCCTGCCTTTCTGCCTGGTTTCTGTCAAAACTTTTCAAGAAGTCATTGTGTTCTTGTGGAAGGTTTTTATTCCATTCCATTAGCATTTTTTGATGGAATACTGTTCCACTGGAAAATATTTGGCCAGCTTTTCTTGTAGCTTAGTTTATTAACAGCTACACATGCTAGTCAACAGCTTGTTGTGTAGCTTCTTTACTTTTAAATCTGATTCACTAATTTGATTTTGAAAATCTAGAAAAGGTTTAAACGCCATCCTCCTCTAATTTTTTTTCCACCCTTCCTTTTTGTCCCTGTCACTTTTTTCCTCTCTTTACCCTCTCACTTGTCACTGGGACCTCCATAGGTCTTAAAGCAGGAAAAGAGCATGGAGATCATTGTTTCATTTGCTACATAATATATACCAGGAGATTTCAAGCAATCATTTTATCAAATGATGAAACTTTTGGCTGAACTAAAACATATTTTATACTTGATGCTGCTTGTTCAGATTCTCAGTGG